TCAGACGGTAACTGCCAAATTAAAGACAAAGAAGGCAACCTTCAGCACTGGAAAGAGCACTACAATTCACTGCTCAACCAAAACACCGATATGGATGTTCTGACTACCCAGCAGGTCCCTCAGCATCCAGAGCAGTTCCACCTCAGCTATCCTCCATCCCTGGATGAGGTAGTTACTGCCATTAAACAGATGAAAAATAACAAAAGTGCAGGGCCTGATGGAATCCCAGCCGAGGTGTATAAAGTAGGAGGGCCTCTGCTTACCAGCCGTCTCCACTCTCTCCTGGAGAATATATGGGAAAAGGAGAAAATACCCCAAGCTCTTGAAGACACCTCCATCGTCAAAATTTATAAGAGCAAGGGAGACCAGTTAGACTGTGGCAACTACCGCGGGATCTTGCTGCTGTCCATAGCTGACAAGATTATCGCCCGTGTCCTCCTAAACAGACTTCCAGCTGAGGCGGAAAACTTCCTCCCAGAATCTCAATGAGGCTTTAGATCATCACGTGGCATCAATGACATGATCTTTGCTGCCCGCCAGATACAGGAAAAGTGCTTAGAACAGCGTCATCACCTGTACATGGCTTTCATCGACCATACCAAGGCCTTCGACTCGGTCAACAGGGAATACCTTTGGCGACCCTCAGCAGTTTTGGCTGCCCACCAAAATTCATCGCTATTGTGAGGCAACTCCACGATGGCATGAAGGGCAGTTTTCTGCACAATGGTACCCGGTCTGAGTTCTTCCCCATCCAAGTGGGGGTAAAACAAGAATGTTTAGTGGCATCAACTCTTTTTCATTTTCTTGGATGCCTTCTTTACTCGTGCCAGTACCAATTTAGCCGGCAGGGTGGACACTCAGTGCTGGATGAAAGGTTATTTCAACATACGACGATTCTAGGTAGGATCAAAGGTGGTCGGCAGCTTCCATTACTGAACTTCGGTATGCAGATGACCTCACCCTTGTTGCCCACACTGAACACGACCTATAGGAGAGCCTGAACACCTACGGGGAGGCGTATGCACAGTTCACCCTGCCCCTGGTTGAGCTACACCTCCACCATCCATCCACCTTAACGGTACTACCCTCTCTAATGTTACCCACTTTCGGTATCTCGGCTCCCACCTGTCCAGCACCACGGCCATCGATGAACAGATTCAGCATCGTGTCAGATGTGCGTCTCAAGCCTTTGGCAGACTTCGTACCCCTATCTTTAGCTGTAGGGAGCTGAAATTATGTACAAAGTTGCACGTACATCGAGCAGTGGTCCTCCCCACCATGCACTATGGCAGCGAGACAGAGGTCACATACAGGAGACACCTCAAGGCACTAGATAACTTTCACCAACGTAGTCTACGTTCCATCTTCCGAGTTCGCTGGGAAGACAAGAGAACAAATGCCAGTATTCTCTCTAACACCAAATGTAGGAGCATCAAGGCTATCATTATTCATGAATAATTACGTTGGACTGGCCATGTCACCCGCATGGACAACAGTAGACTGCCAAAGCAGCTACTTTACAGTCACCTAACGAATAGTAAACGTAACGCTGGCGGGCAATGGAAAAGGTATAAGGATAATCATAAAACAAACCTGAAAAAGTGCCAAGTCGACCCCCTCTCCTGGGAGACGATCACCGCACACCGTGACGCTTGGGGGAGCACCACACGAGAATATGTCAATATTTTCGAGTTAGCCCGACTGCATACCGAGGCAGACAAGCGCCAGCGCCGGAAAGACGCTCCTGCCTCCCCTCCCGCAATAAAAATATAGGACAGTCTTAAGATAAACCTGAAAAAAATACCAAATCCACCTCCTCGCCTGGGGAACGATTACCCCTCATTCTAACGCTTGGAGGAGCACCACACGAGGTGTCAATACTTTCGAGCTAGCCCGACTGCATACCGAGGCAGAAAAGCGCCAACGCCTGGAAAGATGCTGCTGCCGCCCCTCCCGCACTAGACGTAACTCTCCACACGTGCAACATCTGTATACGACCCCGCCGGTCCCGTATCGGCCTCTCTAGGCACCTCAGAGCTCACCAATGATGGTGACATCCTTTATAACTTATATAATTTTATCATAGCTAGATGATCGCCATACTCGATTCCGAGTGACAGCAAAGTAGTAGTCGAAGTACTAGCTTCACAATTCTTCAACAACTTCTTTCCTAATTACTGTTTTTAAGGTTCTGTTTGATAATCGTAGATTATATTCAACATTGTCATTGATGGACTCGGACTTAAGTACGGTATCAACTCTGTTATGTTGACTGATGCCTATGTGAGAGGATATCCATAGCAGCCTGATCCTGATACCCCCGTCAACAAGACAAATGTGCTTGTGTATGGCCTTAGCCATACAGAATAAAATACCTAAGTGTGGGGCTGCCCTCTAAAGGGTTAAGGCAGTGGTTCTCAATTTTTTTTCCAGTTTTACCCATATTTAAAGTCTGACAGGTTCGAATTATCCCAACGTAAAATTTTACTCCTAAATTCTATTCAATGAAGTTTAAGATACAAAACACAAGCTTACAAATGTACTTACAAATTTTACTCCTCCAATAAAGTGTATTATACAAAACACAAGGGTACAATTCTAGTCTGTCTTATACAAAAATCAGTAATAGTGCTACAGTTACAGTGCTGTTATAGACTTAGTCTTAGTGAGATGGATGAACTTGTGTTATCGACACTAGATTTTGGATGCGTGGTTTAGTCTTTGACAGAGCCAGCCTCATATCTGAGCTTGGAACAAGCCGGTTTCTAGTCTTGGACTTGATGTGGTACATTGCCGAGAACCCAAGTTCACACATATAGGTCATGGGAAATGGAAGAAGTACGTCGATAGCCCGAGTCATTAGAGTTGGGTATCCCACTGCTCCTTGCTTAAGCCAGAAAGATGCAATATCCTCGACAGTGTCGAATGTGCTACGGGTCACGGAATCATTTCTCAATTTATAAATGTTAAATACGACGTTACCCCACCGTGCCAACAGAAGCATATTATCCCAGCCAAAATGTAGTTTTTACCCCAGTTGGGGTAATTACCCCGAGTTTGAGAACCACTGGGTTAAGGTATCAGGAACAAGTAATAAGGATAAGGAGTCAGTGATAATGAGACTGTCAGTGGCAATGTTCAACAATTTTCAGGGCTGTGAGTGTGGCAAATAGTTCAGTTTGTAGACAGCACTCCCAGCCCTGACACCGACAGTGTTTAGAGAGTCGTCAGTGTAAATGGTCTCTGTGAAGTTATTTTCAGTTTGTTGGTTAATTATGTGTTCGAAAGCTCTCACTTTGGTAGTGTGGTGGAAATAAGGATCATGTGGTCAGTCGTAGAGGATAGGCGGGTACGTGGATTTTGTGGTGTCAATGGGAACTAACCTCCAGGGTGGCAGAAAGCGCTGTTGTGTTTCATCTCTGTACAGATGGTCTAGTCCAACCATCCTCATATGTGTACCAGTAATTTGGATCCATTTAAATTCACCAGTCTCATGAGTTAAATATTTTAATGGTAAGGGTTGTGGTGGTGACGGTAATGGTAGCGCAGTGGTGGCAGTAAAAGTGGTAGTTGTGGTTCATGGAGGTGATAATGGTAGTGGTAGTGATATGGAAGGTGGTGATGGTGTTGGTGATGATGTAGGTGTTGATGGAGAAGGTGATGTTGGTGTTATTGCTGTTGGTGAAGGTGGTTTGGTGTTGTTTCTGGTGATGGTGGTGAAGGTGATAATGGTGGTGGTATTGCTGATGATATTGATGGTGAAGCTGGTGTTGGTAGCGAGATTGGTAGTGATTGTGGTGGTAGTAGAGGTTATTAATGGGGTAATAGTTAAGGTGGTGGTGTAGAGATAATATTTATGGTGGTAGTAGTGGAGGTGGTAAGGGCAGTGGTATTGTGGAGTTGCTAAATGATGGTGTTGTGTGGTTATCAAGAAGGGTCAGCCAGTGCATGACGCGCGTGCCTTCCAGGGGTACACAACCCACTAACGAGCACCACACTATATAACAACACTGTGGATGTGTGTGTACCAGGATGTACACCTCAGCATATTTTATCACGACCTGAGTGTGTGTGAAGAGCTGTAGTATGTGGAAGGATGAAAGATTAATGTTAGGTACAATAAAGTTCTCATTAGCTGCAATAAAGATAAAATTTGTATCAGGAGAACACATGAACACTTGATGGTGGTGTTTAGGGAAAAATTTGACTTTTTGTTATTATCACCACTAAAGTGAGCTGTTTATATTACAGTTATAAGTCCAGCTGCACCGAGATTTAGTATTACTAACGTGTGATTACGAGGTAGTGGTTGTAGTGGTAGTAGAGGAAGTTAATGGGGCTTGTCTCACCTCAGGTTGAAAAAATAACCATATTGTTGATTCATATGTCCAGTTTCCTTCATTATATACAGTATATACTTGGATCACGCGCACATTCAGTGATTTACTTACACACACACACACACACACACACACACACACACACACATATATATATATATATATATATATATATATATATATATATATATATATATATATATATATATATATATATATATATATATATATATATATATATATATATATATATAGAGGGTACACTTTACTTAAGATGTGTGCGATTATGTACCAATATTTCTACATAATGTCGTAGTAATGCTATTTTCATATATTTCAGTAGTCTTTCACCCGCATTTTTCCCACGTTATCTGAGGTTTGTGTAGCCCTGGTCCAAATGATACAAAATAAGGAAGGAGTAAAATAAATTACTAGAAAAAATAATAATAATATTATTATTATTATTATTATTATTATTATTTTTATTTATTTTTTATTCTGTATTAAAACAATGTGTGTGTGCGTATATGCGTATGTAAGTGTATACGTGTGTGTGTGTGTGTGTGTGTGTGTGTGTGTATGTGTGTGTGTGTGAGGGAGGTGAGTCACAGGAGGTGATATATCAGCTTGCGTTGGCATTTCGCCAACCCAGTCGCTCCCCGGTTTCCACCAACAAGTGAGTCCATGCGCTTTAGTGTTCATATACTGTGTGTGTGTATATATATATATATATATATATATATATATATATATATATATATATATATATATATATATATATATATATATATTCACAGGAGCTAATATAATAAATGATTACTCAAGAATAAACATTTTATGGGAGCCAGATAATAAAGATATTGATCAAATAAATTGATGGCTGTAAGTGTATACGTAAAAAAAATGCCAGTGACAAGATAACTGTAAAAACTGTGGACTGACGAGCTACAGTTGTATTTACGAGATAGCCCCAGGAGTGCAGTATAAGAAAAACTTACTGTATGTTAAGAAAAAATAGACGAAGGAAAATATCTTTTGCATCGTAATAAAAAATACATTTTGTATCATCATTAAAAATTCAGCCATAACCTTAATGATAATGATGACAATGGTGTTGGTGGACATTGACCACGGGGATGTACTCTCACAGTACAACCATTGTTGATATATTAATACTTACAACAATGAAGCGCACCAATGAGGTGATCTGCTGATGTTATACTTGTCTCGAGAACAACGAAAATATACTCAAATCTTTACTGTACTGAGTTCCATTTTTATCGTTGATGAATTTCATTTTTTTTTTATTTTACAGTGAGGCTTCATGCGTGTGTGGTGGTAGTTGTGGTGATGGTGATGGTGGGACAGAAGTCAGCTCAGGCCAAGGTTTTGCACCGGAAGAACCACCATCACCATCACCAGAAATCCAATGGTTCTATGTCGACTCAAGAGGACGTGTCAATAGCAGGCTCGTGAGTGTTTCTCTGTATTATTCATTTTCACTATAGCCGTGTACATTATTTCTGGTCCTCACTCTAAGGAAACACTTCAGGGATTCGTTTCCCCCCCTCTCCCTCTCTCCTTCACCATTCCCTCTTTTATCCTCAGTAGTTTTTTCCTCTACTGACTTAGATATTTAAAACAAAATAGTGTCAAATTTTAGTGTTTTTCATGAAGCGTCTTTTGAATTGACTTGAATTGAAACAGTTTATTTAGCCAGAAAAACACAGATACAGAGTGGATAATAATAACAATATTAACATACCTGAGCCAGTTGAGAACCTGAGCTCTCTTTTGGGCACCTGATATATACGATGCATTTATCTCAAGGAAGTACTGTATTATGTAACATTTAGTAACATCTGGAATAGTACAATTGCATGATGGTAATAAGAACATCTCATAATGTTACCACGGTTATCACTTCAATATTTATTTAATTTATTTATATATTTTTTAGTTTATTTATTTGTTTTATTTATATATACATAAATTATAGTGGAATTTAAAAACATAAGTATAATGGGGGAGCAGTAAAACATGGGTTGTACAGTAATAAGGTTGAACACGAGGACAGAGCTGTCAGGACTATGTCTAGTTGCCAATTATGTTTATTGCAATGGTAATTTCTTATCTATTTACATGATAATTTCCAATAAAAAGGTTTGGTTGGTATAATAAAAGCAGGTACTGTAAATATAGTAGGTGTTTTGAGCATTTACACTAACTACTTGCGAATCTTGCCATAGTTGATATAGATCCAGTCGAAACTTAACTTTTACATTTCCTCAACAATAATTTGAGAAGTTTTAATATATTTTTATATTTTTAGTCGATAAGAAAATCGTTCTCTGTGTCGACAAAGATATATATTTCATTACTTGTAATTGTTTTTAAGTATTCTAGCCGGGGTTACTTCAGTGGAGTGGTCACTGACTGTACTGTTCTTGAATTTTCAAGCCTGATTAGAAAGACGCGCTTACAGAGGGTCGGGTACTTTGTCTATATCCCTTTAGAGTTGACGAAGGATGACATAGAGTTATAGATCATCAGCCTCAGGTAAAGAGGAGGTTACACGGCTATAGGGAGTAGACTACCTTTGCCCCCAAGTGTAAAGGTAGAGTGAGGGAATATACCGTAGATGAAACTGGAGTGTGTCACGGGGCTGGAAAATAATATTTCTCCGCTACGCCAGTGAGGATAGTATTACACGGAAGAGACTGTGCTAATGAGGATAGGCGCACAGGATGGTGACTCCGCTGGTGATAGGAGTACAGGAAGGGAACTGCGCAAGGTGGGATAGGAGTACAGGTAAGGGCCTGCGCATGAGGAACATAATTCCAAATTGTAGTACCATATAAATTCCCTTCTTGGGTCCAGAGAACGATATTCCAATTCCTATGACAAGAAATTCAGATTTCCCTCTTCCTGTTAAGAATTTTGAGAATACCAGCTCCTATTTTTAAATTTTTAAGGAAACGAATTTCTTGTTCTAAAATTCTTATTCAAAGTTTGATAATAACACTCAAATTACGAGCACCGGAAAATGAGATTTCCAGTCCTATTCCTGACACTGAGATTCCCACACCTGGTCTAATTCACCATGTACACTTGCAGGTTGAAGGCCAACGACACCTTCACTTCTATGGCCACCGCCGTGTCTCAAGGGAGCCAGTCTGAGTAAGTACCTTAACACCTATCATCAGTGACCTAACACCTTCCGCCAGTGACCTAACATACTGCTGCTACTACTAATACTTTGCTGTCACTCGGGATCGAGTATGACGATCAACCAGCTATGATACAATGGTATGAGTTATTAAAGATGGCACCTTCGTTGGTGGGCTTGTGACTCGAGCGGCCGATACAGAACCGCCAGGGCCGTCCACAGATATTGCACGTGTGGAAGGCTATTTTTATTGCGGGAGGGGAGGCAGGAGCGTCTTTCCGGCGCTGGCGTTTGTCTGCCTCGGTATGCAGTCGGGCTAACTCGAAAATATTGACATATTCTCGTGTGGTGCTCCCCCAAGCGTCACGGTGTGCGGTGATCGTCTCCCAGGAGAGGGGGTCGACTTGGCACTTTTTCAGGTTTGTCTTAAGATTATCCTTATACCTTTTCCATTGCCCGCCAGCGTTACGTTTACTATTCGTTAGGTGACTGTAAAGTAGCTGCTTTGGCAGTCTACTGTCATCCATGCGAGTAACATGGCCAAATCAACGTAGCCTCGATGCTCCAACAGTTAGTGTCAGCGAGGATACTGGCATTTGTTCACTTGTCTTCCCAGTGAACTCGGAGGACAGAGCATAGACTGCATTGTTAAAAGTTTTCAAGTGACTTGAGGTGCCTCCTATATGTAACCTATGTCTCGCTGTCATACGGCATATAATTTAAGCTCCCTACACCTGAAGACACGGGTATAGAGACTGCCAAATGCTTGAGATGCACATCTGTCCAATGTTGAATCTCTTCATCGATGTCCGAGGTGGTGGACAGGTGGGAGACAAAATGCTGAAATTTGGTCACATTAAAGAGGTTACTACTGTTAACCTGGATTGATGGTGGAGGTGTGGCTGAACGAGGGGCAGGCTGAAAGAGAATATGAGTTTTACGTACATTCACCTCAAGGCCGAAGTGTGTATACGCATCTGCGTAGGTGTTCAGGATCTCCTGGCGGTCGTGTTCGGCGTAAGCGACGAGGGTGAGGTCGTCTGCATACTGAAGTTCAGTGATGGAAGCGACTAACACCTTTGATCCTGCCTGGAGTCGTCTTATGTTGAAAAGTTCTTTCATCCGGTACTGGATGTCCATCCCGCCAGCTAAATTTGCACCGCCACGAGTAAGGAAAGCAACCAGGAAATTGAAAAAGAGAGTTGGTCCCACTACACATCCTTGTCTTACCCCCGTTTGGATGGGGAAGAACTCAGACTGGGTGCCATTGTACCGGACACTGCCGTTCATGCCATCGTTGAGTTCTCTCACAATGACGATGAATTTTGATGGGCGGCCAAAACGACTGAGGGACCCTGTTGACCGAGTCGAAGGCCTTGGAAAGGTCAATGAACGCCATGTATAAGTCATGACGCCTTTCTCTATATTTTTGCTGTATCCGGCGAGCACCACTGACATTGGGATTCTGGGAGGAAGTTTTCTGCATCAGGACGAAGTCTGTTTAGAAGGACTCTAGCGATAATCTTGCCAACTATGAACAGCAGCGAGATCCAGTGGTAGTTGTCACAGTCTGATCGGTCTCCCTTGTTCGTATAAATATTGACGATGAAGGCATCTTTAAGATCTTGGGGATTTCCTCCTTCTCCCATATATTTCCCCAAGAGATAGTGGAGACGGTTGGTAAGCAGAGGTTTTCCTGCTTTATACACCTCGGCTGAGATTCCATCAGGCCCTGTTGGTTTGTCATTTTTCATCTCCTTGATGCAGTCGCTACCTCAACCAGGGATGGAGGATAGCTGAGGTGGGTTAGCTTTAGGTACTGAGAGACCTACTACGTAGTTAGGACACCCACATCGGTATTTCGGTTGAGCAGGGAAAGGTAAGTGCTCTTTCCAGCGCTGACGGATGCCTTCTTCGTCTTTAATTATGGAGTTATCGTCGGATGAGCAGAGGGGGGCCGCGCCATGAGTAGTTGATCCATACATTGTTTTAGTGGAATTAAAAAATTCACGGATCTTGTGTTGATGCGCAATTTTTTGCATTTCGCTCGCCTTATTTGTCCACAATTCGTTCTTTAGATTGCGAAGTTTGCGCTGGGCCATCCCTTTCTTTTGGCAGAAGGTGTCAGCTTTAGTCCAAGACTGAGGGTGGCACTGCCAGTCAGTGAAGGCGGCACTTTTACCACTGACGAGCAAGTCCATTTCCTGGTTATTTCCATCAAATCAATCCTGGGGTTTCTTTCGATCTGGCCGAGGGTCTCTGTGCAGGTTTTTGTTGTGATGAAAGTGTCGAGGATACCTCTTTCGTTACTCGGATTTAGGTTGTTTGTTCTTGGGTTGCTTATCAGCCCATCGTCGAGCTGCTCTCTGAAAGCATGTTCTTCCGCTTGATCCTCCAGTCACTTGGTGTTAAAACCTCTTCTGGAGGCTTATGGCCTTCGTCGTCTTAGGGCAACGTGAAGGGAGAGTTTGGCTCTGACGAGCCGATGATCTGTGTTACAGTGGTCTGAGCCACGCATGGCTCGGGTGATGAGCACATCTCAGTGATCCCTTTCCCTGACAATGATGTAGTCAATGAGATGCCATTGTTTGGATCGTGGGTGTTGCCAAGAACCCTTGAACTTGTCGGCCTGCCTAAACAAGGTGTTGGCGATAGTGAGGTTGTGTTCAGCACACATGCTGAGGAGAGTAGGCCGTTAGGATTACACTTGTCCACTCTGTTTCTCTCTACAGTTCCCTGCCATAAGTCAGCATGTCTGTCAGGAACACAACCTTATCTTCTCTCGGGATAGAGGTCAGCACTGTGAAGGTCGGCGTAAAAGGCCTCCTTGATATCATCATCTGCATCTAGTTTGTGGGCGTATGCACTGATAAAAGAAAATATGACGTGAGTGGGACTCAAATCGGTATGAAGCTCTCGTTGACCCCAACAGGCTTTTCATTTAACCTTTGTAGGATAGACTGACGAATGCATTGCAAAGCCAACTCCACAAATAGGGTTTTCTTCGCAGCAGGCTTACCCTTTCAGAAGGTATTACCGTACCCCTGTTTTGTGAGTCAATCCTCGTGTGGGAGCCGGGACTCACTAATGGCTGCTGTGTCGATGTTATACCTAGAGAGCTCTTTAGCCACAAGGGCGGTTGTTCTTTCAGGACGTTCATTTGTGCCAGTATCCAGAAGGGTCCTGATATTTCATGCTTTTATCTGTGGTTATGTTTTTGACTGCCTTAGGATGCCCTTATTGGGTGCTGTTGTTTAGTCAGGTTGATTTTTTAAGCAGGCTATAGTTAGGGCACCTTTTCTAGCCCCTTTCTCATGTTGGGTGAGCAGAGTGGCTCCTGGAAAGGGCTGCTCAGTCGCATATATAGGACTGGATTGCACTGCTGCCGAGATCGCCATAGGGCTTTTGGTGGTTTCAGGGTTCTGATGATGATGAAAAGTATGATGAGCTAGATACTGGCTGCTCGTGAATTGATTTATGTGGTGAGGCAAGAGCGCAGGCTGCAACCCCACATCTTGGCTCTCCCTTTTCTTGATGTAGTGGTGCTGGTAGCTGCAACAAATGGGGAGAGGGAAAGTTGCAATGGACTGCCGATAGCCCAGTTTGTTGGATTTCGCCGAAGTAGCCTGTCCATCTTTCATTGCCTTCATCCGTTAGTGTACTCGTTGGGTTCCCGTGTTGGCCACCTTTTCCGCCTATTCCACTGTTGGGGTCTTACTGGTAATCTTTTTACTCCCGTAGCCTTATACCTACCAAGGTTAATCTGCATGGCAGTAGGGCAGTGGTTGGTAGGCGCCAGGGCGTGTCCACATATTATGTAACCTAACATGTGTAACCAGTGATCTAACACCTGGGACCAGTGATCTAGCACCTATCATTAGTGACCTATCACCTGTTACCATTTGAATAACACCTGTTACTATTGAGATAACACCTACACCTGTCACAAATGAACTAACTGGCACCTTTGGACTAACTACTGTGACCAGTGGACTAACACCTGTCGACAATAGGTGTCCGTACACTTTTTATCATCTGCCCATCTATCCGTGTTTTGACGTCTGTTTATTCGTCCATTAGTATTGGTGTGCTTATCTATCCATCTTCATTTGTTCGTCCGTCCAATCGTCAGTAAACTTTCACATTTGCAGCTCCCCAAAGAACGCTTAACACAATGACGATGAAACGCAGTAAGAATGTTGCTTGACTGTCATAGGACCATGTTTGAGTTCGTATGTTCCGTTATTGCCTTAATAGCTTCACTTCCCATCATACAAATATTCCCTCTATTCTTTCCTTTAGACAAAGCTTGAGGAAGTGTGAAGGTGAGTTGGTGTGGGTCTATGTGTATTAAAAACAGACAGGAGTTAAGAGATTCGGTGTAATATTTAACGTCTTTACACACACACACACACACACACACACACACACACACACACACACATTTTTAACCTAAACTAACCCTAATATCAACTATCTAAACTGAATATAAATCATAACTTAGCTTAACCTAACTTTACCTAATGAAATCTAATCTAACCTAACCTTACGTGTTGTGACCTAATCTAGCTCAATATGAATCCTAACCTTCCCAACCTAATTTAATCTAGATCCTAATTTAAACTAACTTAATATGAGTCCCAACTGAGCTTCATTTAACTTAATCGACAAATTAACCTCGGCGTATTTAAGCTAACCTAACCTATCTTACCCAGATTTGTGGAGATAGTGAAGGACGGAACACGGACAAAAGGGACAGTCACCAAGAAAGAGCCAAATGGAATGGTGAAGCGGAAGGTGGTGGTGATCAGGAAGGACTTAGAGAAAAAGAGACGAAGAATGAGACAAATTAGAAAGATGAAAAGAAAGAATGCTAGGCTAATGAAAACTGAGAAGAACAAGGTAAATGAAGAGGAGGGAGATAAAAAGACAAAGAGGAAGAAGAGAAAGAAAAAGAAGAAGAATGATAGGAAAAAGAGGCGGATGGAGAAGAAGGAAGATGAGAAGGAGATGAAGGAACAGGAGGAAGACACAATTAAGGAAGAGGAAGTTAAGAAGGAGGAGAAGAAGAAGATGGAGGTGGAGGAGAAAGAAGATATAAAGAAAAAAGAAGGCAAGGAAGCAGGGAAGAGTAATAAAGAAGACAAGGGTAAGGAGGAAGAAGAGAAGAAGATGATAGGTATGGAAGGAAATGAAGAGGACAAAGGTAAAAGAGAAGAGGAGAAGAAGAAAGTTGACAAAGGGGAGGGAGACGAAGAAGAGGAAAAGAAAAAAGGAGATGCAATGAAAGATGACAACGAGGAAGTAAAGAAGGAGAGGGAACATAAGGAGGGAGGAGACGCTAAAGAAGACAAGGAAGGGGAAAAAAATAAAGAGAACAACCGAGAGAAAAAACAGCTAAGTGGAAGTGAGGAAGAAAATAAGGAAGCCAAACCTGATGGAAAGACAGACACCACAGAAGGAAATGATAAAGGGGAAGGGAAGGATGAAAAGGACATATTAGATAAGAAAAAGGAGGAGGAGGAGGAGAAAGAGGAAGTCAAGAAGGAAGAAAGCGTTGAAGACAAGAAGATAGAAACTGTAGACAAGAAAGAAGAAAGTGGAGACGATAAGAAAGATGAAAAGAAAGAAGATAAAACGGGAGGAAATGAGGACGAGAAGCTAGAAGAGAAGAAGGATTTATAAGAGAATGACTAACGGAGAAAGAATAAAACATTAACCTAACCTAACCTAACCTAACGTAGCGTAACCTACCGTAACATAACCTACCCCTACGTAACTTAACCTAACCTAACCTAACCTAATGTAAACGTAGCCTAACCTGACGTAAAATAGCCTAGCCTAGCCTAACATAATCTAATGTTATCTAGACCTAGTTTTATCCAAACCTATCCCAATCCTAATGTAATCATGTCCTCACCAAATTCTATCCTGACTTACCCTTATACTATCCTAACCTAACCTATTATGATCTGATGAAGGCCAATGTTTAAAAATAAACACATCATGACTTGACCAATGAAATGTCAGACATGCCTATATACATGTTAACCTATTGTGTATTGTACATTGGTAGTGGTAGGGTTTATGTTGTCTGTACTACAAAATAGATATTGAGCAATTTTTATTCACTATACTTCCACTGTAATATATGAATATTAAAGATAGCGTTTATTTCAAAATATAATAGCACTGAAATTTATTTTAACTCCTGTGATATAGTTTACCATTATTTTTTGTTATTGAAATTCAAGTTATAGTCATAAACTAAGAAACACCACTAGATATAGATTTACTTATTATTCTTTCAAGATTGTGATTTTAACATAGTTATAAATGTATATTAAACCAATAAAGATAATCACTTGACCTTACAGTGTGTTTATCCCGCTGCAAACTCGTCTCTTTCACGCACAACATAATACGTCTAGTCAAATTCTCAAAAGGATATATGTTCAGTAATGGATAATATAAACGCCTTCTGAGCGTTTAAAGGTTAATGAGACTCTTCACGTTAAACTCGAACGTTATAATTCGGTCAAACCTGTTGAATACAATTCATTTTTAGTATTTCAAATAAATCATACATAGGCAATCATACATAAATGTTTAATCCAATATATATTTACATAACAATCATAACTATGTAATTAGTCTAATCTTAACACTTATAATGACTACTTAATTTACCATATTTCTATGTTGTCACAATGGTAACCGATGCAATGGACATAGTCTACCTGTGTAAACTTAAGTCCAGGTTAAACTTACGTGTTGAAAGTCTCAAGAGAAACAGGTTAGGTGTTGACTCTATGATGGGGATAGCTATAGTGGCAGTGCCCTGCCCGGCGTCACATGCCCAGCCCTCGCTGGCCGACTTTGCTGCGTCAGGCGTTTATACGCAAACAATCTTCCCTTACTATCACCCAACACACCATCCTCCTCCGTTTCTCTCCATCTCCACCAACTCAATACTCTATATACGGGCAGGCACACCAAATAAACATGACATGACTTACAGCCTAACATCATGTTTGTTTATGTGTCATCCTACTCATTACTGCTTGCGGTAACACCCACTCCGTTGAACGTTCACGCTCAAAACCAGATCAAGCCTTTGATACTTAACTTTGTCATCTTCTTGTGACTATGCTGGCCTCAGGCTGCTGACACTTAACTTTGTCAGGTTCTTGTGACTTTCCTGCCCTAAGGCTGGTGGTATTTAACTTTGTCATTTTCTTGTGACTATCGTTGCCCTCAGGCTAGTAGTACTTGTCAGCTCCTTTGGACATCTCGGTCCTTTGACATTCGGACCTCACTGTCTTCGTGTGTGGATACCAAATACATTTTCCTGACCGACTCCGTCTGCCCCTTCCATGGCTCATTCCAACAAGCATAATTTAGTCACAGGTAGCAGCATCGTGGACGTCGTCATCTTAACCACTGCCTGTCGTACAAGTCCATCCTCGCCAGCCTTGACTTCCATCACTCGACCACGGTGCCAATTGTTGTGTGGACTATTTGCTTCTGCTATAATGATAAGGTCACCATGGCGAAAGTTGCGCCGTGATCTGAAGTGCACTTGTCAAGTTCTGAGTTGAGGGAGGTACTCCGCCAGCCAGCGCTTCCAAAATTGATCTGCAAGGTACTGGACATGCTTCCACCTTCTGTGGTATGATTCGCCCATTGATCTTCCACCTAAGGGAATATTACCCTTTCGACTTAGGTGCAAAAGATCAGCAGGTGTGAGAGCCTTCGGTTTTTTTGGAGTGTTTGGCACCGGGGTGATTGGCCTTTCGTTAATTATGGCCTCCATTTCGCAGAACAGTGTTTGCAGACGATCATCGTCTAAAACGTGCGAGCCCACAATCGCCTGTAGGACCTTTTTACTGTGCGAATCTGTCTTTCCCGATATATACGGGGAAGCTGGTGAATTTAAGACCCAATCAATATCTGCTTTCAGTTAGGCACCTCTGAGTCTGTCATCTTGCTCCCAATTTTTCACAGCCAGTTTGAGCTCTTTGGCTGCCCGTACCATGTTTGTCCCGTTATCCGACCTCATACGCTCTGGAGTACCTCTGCATCGTAAGAACATTGTTATTGCGTTGAGGAAGGCATCTCCGTCTAATGAGGCCAAGACTTCTAGATGAACAGCCCCAATAGTTAGACATGTAAATAGACATCCCCAGCGCTTGACCTGTTTCCTCCCTACCTTGATAATGAATGGACCAAAACAGTCCGTTCCAGTGTAAGCAAATTGTGTCTTTCCAAGTTTAGGCAGGTTAGGTTAGGTTAATTTCAGTTAGGATAATTTCGGTTAGGATTGGTTAGCTGAAGGTAGGTTATGTTACATTAAATTAGATAAGGTTAAAATTGATTAGATTAGGTTAGGTGATGTTAGGTTAGGTTAGCTGAAAGTTGTAACATCCAACTTGTGGTTGTAACCGACAGCCACCAGTTTACCAGGCCTTGATGACTAAACTACCAACTAAGTTCTTGTTTATATCTCATTGTTATGATGTTACCAGTGTTCTAGTGTTACCAGCATTATAATGTTACCAAGGTTATAGTGTAACCTTTGTTATAGTGTTAGGTGGGTTAGTGTTACCTGTGATATAGTGTTGTCAGTGTTATAGTGTTATCTGTGTTAGTGACACCAGTGTTATAGTGGTACCAGTGTTATAGTGGTACAAGTATTATAATGTTATCTGTGTTATAGTGTTACCTGTGTTAGCGATACCAGTTTTATAATGATACCAGTGTTATAGTGTTACCTGTGTTATACTGTTATGTGGGTGGTAGTGTTGCCTGTGTTATAGCGCTATCAATGTTATAGTGTTATCAATGTTATAGTGTTACTAGTGTCCTGGGAACTGGCAAGCATAGTATATAGGATCATAGTGGCGACCTGTGGTGTAATGGTCAGCATGGTCGCCTCGCAAGCGAGCGGACCCAGGTTTGATCCCCGGGCAGGGTGAAACTAGGGGCAAGTTTCTTTACGTCATTTACTTCCGTCTACCCAGCAGTAATTGGGAACCTGGATGTTAGTCGATTTGCTGATCGTATTCCGAGTTAATGGTTAGCCAGTGCAGTTGGCGAGTGTCCGGTCTTCTCGGACTATTCCTTGACACGAGGTCATGCAACTCATTAACTTAGGGTGTGGTTGTTGCGTTGGCGACAGCTTCTACACCTAAAAAAAATTCACGCCTAGGTGGCCCTTGGGCCGGCCATCCTCGTTACAAGGGGGGCAACCATTATTATATTATATAGACCACAAGAGGAATTAAATATAAATGTGGAGTGTAGTACGCTTGTATTACGGAGTGTGGTGTAACTGAGGTGCTATGGTCGTGGCAGCAGTGGGGATCGTGTTCACGGGAGTGCTCAGAGGCATCATGAGATATCGAAACACGTTTGAGGAGAATTTTTTATTTATGACAGCACCCGAATGTTATCACCAATCAACTCCACCCGTATAAGACTATACTAGTCATTCATTCATAAGTTTGGCACTATCACGCTGCTACACTTACATAAACATCACCACAGGGGGTAAAGGATCTCTTTTAGACGACTGTCCCTTAACGTGCACTGAGTCTGCTGCAAACTCATATCGGTAAACAGTTTACATCTTTACTGCAGTTGTTATGGAGTGGCACGGCTGCTGCAGACCTTGTTAGTGTGTGTTTATCATTAACAATACCCTTGTGTAAGTAAGCAATCCTGATTGTTGCCAATAACATAGATGACACCATTAAGTTACGGGGTCTGATGGTGCAACATCATAGTTGCGCTGAGTGTTTTACAGTGGTAGAAAGTCTTTATGGTAGAAAAAAAACATCGTCGTGCAAGAAAATGAAAATTTGATTTTTTTCCAGTAAAATTGCCACAGAAGTATAAATTGGTGAAAAAGTAAGCCAATAATCATTAACAACGTTTTACGCATATTATCCAGTTTCCAAGCTTGCTTTGATATATATATATATATATATATATATATATATATATATATATATATATATATATATATATATATATATATATATATATATATATATATATATATATATATATATATATATATGCTGATAACCACAAGGAAAGAAGAAAACACGAAGTTCCCAAGCGCTTTCGTGTAATTCACATCGTCAGGGGTGAGTACAGACTAATGAGAAGTACAAAACAAGGTGTATATATACAGAGGAGGGTGAGATCAGGTCCACAATGGTCAGGTATTAGGTAATGACCCTACTAATCTTTAAATAGCACCGCAACGGTCGGTAGTCAGGTCAGAGGGTAAGGTGACCCAACCTTCTCACCTGGTTACAAATCTTCTTAATTACAAAATTGTCCAGTTTGTACATGCCAAAGCAGTCAACATGAATTTGAGTAATGGCATATACATGCGGACTTCCATATACAAACAATACCTCACTAGTCGAGAATCGAACCCTGAACCTCTGCGCGTTGTCACAGTCTCCCTTATGCTGTAACATAAATATAACCAAGATAGGGAAATAGAGCATTCCCATAAAAAGTATATTAAACAATAATGGTTTCACACGTGCTGATAGCTTGCACAAAGTTTACATTAATACAAGTCTTATATCTTATCCAACAATATGATTTCTCTCTACTTTACAAGTATGCTTCACAAATAGATTATAATATCTTATGACTACCAGAAAACAATGGAATACCCTTACAACCTGTGGGTTTTTTCACGATACAAAATACCATGTCCTTCACCAATAATACCCAGAGAGAGAGAGAGAGAGAGCTTCTTCTCCTTGTTCCAATACGATTTCACTAACTTATCCACATTTTGTTTACATTCTTCATTTAAGCCACTGCAATATTCTCACATTGAAAAACTGTTTAAAAAAATCATATATTAATGTTCTTTAATCATATCAGTTACTAAAACATATCAGAAATCAGAATACAAAACATATATCACAATCTTAAGAAGACTTTAACCTTCACAGTGATTATAGGGTGTCACGAGAAAACGAGACACTTAATGGGACGACTGAGGAAAACATAAGTACATAACAGCGTGAACAGGGATCATTATCACCGTGCCTACAAGGACAACAAAAACAATCCTAGGTTTAGATTTATTTCACACAAAGCCTGTTTATTCGTCTTATTTTTAAGCAATGTAAACCTCCATCGGGGATTGCTCATGCCAACTATGTGGTCGGAGATGTGAACCATGAGAGTATCGACTTGTGAATCCGAAGCATTCACGAGTGAATCACTGAGGTCGGTGTGTGAGTGGGTGACGGGGTACTGGGATTGAGA